AGGGCTCTCAGATTGTTTTACATAATGTTTTATAGGCCCACACCCCTCTATTGAACACACCCCTTAATTTACATAACATCTAAGGCCAATGACAGAGTGCGACAGTTACCTGGAAAACCACACCACCCTGACAGAAAAAGTTGGCTGACCCCAGGGTTGGACAAACACTCCCCAAAGGAGATTAACAAATAACAGTCACACACAAGAGTCCTCCTCCCTGGGGGGGGGAGAGGGTCACCGGTCAGAGCCAAGTTTAAGGCACATGAATGACAATGCCATAAGAACCTCATCACTTTGTAGGACAGCTTTCTCAGCAGGTGTGGTGACAAATGCTTTTAGTCCCAGCACTCAGGAGGCAGAGGCAGGAGGATCCCTGAGTTTGAGGCCAGCCTGGTCTACAGGGTGAGTTCCAGGACAGGCAGGGCTACACAGAGAAATCCCTTCTTCTGACCCAGGCGCAGCTGTATATGCCTGTCCTCCTAGCACTCAGGACGCTGAAGCAGGAAGAGCAGGGGTTCCCTGCCAGATTGGGCTCTAGAGAGACACAATTTCAAAGAAATAAAAATCACAACGATCCTTTTTAAAAAAACCAACACATAACACTGTCCGGCTGTGGTGCCGTCTGTCTGAATCTGTCCTCTTTAGCAGCATACTTAAAGACCCTGAGATGTTTCATCAGAGAAATTGGCTGAGTTCCACTTTAACTTCATATTTCATTTTCTTCTGAGTATCCTCCATTTCTACCCAGCGCGCATCAACAGGGCACTGCCTTGGGAAACCTACTTCAGAAGAGTTTTTTCCTTACCAATCAGGGACTGGGGGGGGGCTCACTGTTCCCAGCTGAGAGTTCCAGAAACATGCCGCAGGCACTTGTGAAGTCTCACAAAAGGCTTCTCAGTAGGGCAGACATGAACCTCCTCTTGGGACATTCAGCAGCATTCCATTTACATGCAGCCCAGCATACAAATCCTGCATGCAGAATTGGGCATCTGGCAGGCTCCAAAGGCCTGGGTATCAACCAGCTAAGGGAGTATTGGCAAGAGGGGGAAGAGGAGAAAAGGCTCCAAATTAGACACACCAGAACTTGAGCCCTACTTGGTGGCGATCTGAGCTGTGAGGAGTCCTGTGAGGTTTAAACAAGAATGAAAAAAGGGGATCCATCCGGGCTTGTTCCAGACACAACGGGAGCTGCATGACGGCCACTTTCGCCAGCGCTATCACATTAGCCATTGCCACTCCTGGGTCTGTAACCTTTGATAGCTCCCTACTGTCCACACAGGAGCTCAAACTTCCCAAACAGCCAAACAAGGGCCTCTACCATAAAGTTTTAAGACCAAGTCTCACTCTATGGCTATGGCTAGCCTGGAACTCATTATGTAGACCAGGCTGGGCTTGAACTCACAGAGATTCATCTGCCTTTGTCTCCTGAGTACTGGGCTTAAAGATGTGCACCACCATGCCTGGCTACCATAGTGAATTGGTGTGTGGCACAATGCCAGTCACACCAGACCCCCTATCTTTCCCTGATCTCTGTAACTGCTCTTGCCAGTTCACCCCCCTCCCGCCCCCACCTTGGAAACAGTCTGAAGAGGCTGGGCTGAGATGGACATCCCAGCTGGATAGATGCAGTCCCTGTTCCTACTCCTCTTTCCTAGAGCTTCTGGGTTCTATGCCCTGACCATTCTGATGCTTGCTTTCTCTCAGTGCCGCTCAGAAGGCTACAGCCACTTTTTTACCATGTGACTTCACCGAGGCAAGTCATTCATCAGGGACAACCATGCTTGGAAAAAGATGCCATAATGGCACTTCTAGAGCTTTCTGTACCTGGCTGGCCTAGTGCAAGAGCCTCATCAGCTCCAGCACTAATGATCATCTCCAGGCTCCCTGAGCTCTGAGGACGTCATAAACACCCAATAACATCTCATGGCTTGAGTGTCTCCTTCCAACTCATTTCCCCAGAAATCTCAGCCAACTTCTGAACCCGCTCTGGAACCTGGAACAAAAGGGGGTTGGCGGGCAGAACTTGAGGAGGAAGATAATCCAAAAATAATTGATCCCAGGTCATGGAAAGCATTTTGTTTACTGCACCAGTGACCTTCCCAATTATTGTCCGCTTAGGCTAACGTTACAGCCTGCCCTCCTCAGTGGTCCCGATTGCCATGCATGAGTCCTTACGGAGTCCTGTCCAGGCTGTCGAGTGGTAACCTTAGGTACGGAGAGCTGGAAGGCTGGCTCCGAAGGACATTGCAAGATGCATATCTACCCTATGTTCAGGTTTATTCTGAATCTTGCGGAGTCTCACCAGCAGACTATACAAGAGCAGGGTACATTATCAGACCCTGAAATTGCCCCTCTCCCTGCCATGGACCCTTGTAGCAAATCTTCATTCACGTCAAGAGACTAGGATCTGTCCACCTCACATGTGAGAAGACTAACCTCCAGACACTTGCCCTTGTCAAGGTACAGGTACCTGGCTGTCCTTCCTATGTGAAGTAAGGGTTGGCTCGATCTCCCCCAGGCATTTTGGGAGACTCTCCCTCACTTTATGGAGGAAGAGGTGAATCTGGCATTCTAGGCACCCTGGCTGACCCTAGAGAGCAAAGGTCATGTGAGCTCCTAACTCTTCCAGGTTTGTAGGAAGGAAGCCCTCTGGGGACAGGAAGTTAGTTGTGCTGACTCACAAGCTGAGGGAGAGTAATCCAGGAAACTTGTCACTGTTACCATGGCATTGGGGAGGCAGGCACCCCTTCCTCTCTTGAGGTTCACTCAGTGGGCAGTGGGGGCAGGGCACAAACAGAGCTCAGACCGTGTCTCCAGAGCTCTCAGAAGTCCAGCTTCACAGCAAGAACTTAGCCCTTTCAAAACTGCTACCCAGCATGGAGGCTGTGCTGGGATTCAACCGCCCCCAGTCTGCAAAGTGTAGGAGAAGCCGGCGTGGAATTGACGAGCCTACTCCACCCTGGCTGAGAAAACCAAATTCCCAGACAGTGTGGAGATGCTCACGCCCACTCAGGTTATGAGCTCCCAGCCTTCTGAAATCCTCCGCTGTCTTTAGTGGAGGCCTGGCCCCTTGCAGAGTCAAGAATGAGGACAACAGAGTAGGAGAGTGTCACCTAAAGAAGGAAGGTGTCCCCTGAAGGAAGAGGACACAGTGGTGGCTCACCTCTACAGACTGTAAAACTTTCTCTTTAGCGTCCACAGAAACCTTTTGGCTTAGTTTTCCATTCCTCAGGCCTGGTGCGACCTGCCTTTGGCTGGACACTGATGACAGCACTATGGTGGCAGGCGGTACAAGTGCCTAAGCAAGAACTAGCTGCCTGCCTGCTGACCTCGGTCAAGTCCTGTTTACCAGACTAGCTCAGCACTCAGGAGGCAGAGGCAGGTGGATCTCTGAGCCTGCCTATAGAGCGAGTTCCAGGACAGCCAGGACTACAAAGAGAAACTCTGTCTGGAAAAGAAGAAACATTTTATCATTTTGCCTGAACCACAAACTACAGGGCTACTCCTTTATTTTCTCCAGGACAAAGTCTTAATAAGTAGCCCTGGCTTAAAGTCACTAAGCAGAATAGGCTGGCCTTGAACTTGGGGGCAATCCTCCTGCCTCTTCCTCCTGTAATTATAGGTCTCACCCAACTCTCCCTCTTTTCGCCACTAAAGGGCCCTTCAACTTCATATTTAAAGGCAAGAGAACAACCCCCCCCCCCAACACCACCTTGAAGACACAGTTTCTCTGTGTGGTCCTAGCTGGTCTGGAACTCAAAGAGATCTGCCTGCCTCTGCCTCCCCTCCACCCAGTGGCATCAGAGGAACTTTTTAATAAGTTTTTATTTACCATTTCAGAAATCAAGGTGGAGGGAAAGAAGGGGGCGATTGGCCTGAGAGTGACAAGCAGGTGGCATAGCTGGGAGGGGTATTTCCATCACTCCCTCTCCTGGGTGCATCGAGATCCTCTGAAGCAGTCAGGCTCACTGTTGCCCTGACCCAAGACAGGGAGAGACCCAGACACTTGCAACACTCCCTTCCCAAGAAAACACTAAGGGTGCCAGCCACTCCCTTCCTCAAGGCCAAGGTTTAGCTAATTCTCAGGAAGGGGTGGGGGTGGGAGTGCTGGTGAGGGGAGGGAGATAGACTTAGTGGATGCAGGTTGACATCACCAAAAGATAATAATGAAATTGTTCTGTGGGGCCCTGCCCCAGGCAAACTCCAAGTTGTCAGGCCTGAAGGTATTCCCAGAGTGAACTTCTCAAGCTTAACTGCAGCCTCCAGGGCATCTCCTGCAGCCGCTTCTTGTACCGTCTTCTAAGGACTTGAGAGGAAGAAAATAAGCCGACCTCCTAATCAACCTCCTAATCAAGCGAGAGCCTTTCAAGGGGAACATGTCCCACCCTCCTCCCCCACACCCCGTGACTCAGAGACAAGTTTCTGGAGAAGAAACTGAGGGTGGGGAGTGGCTGTCAAACCTTAGGCTGAGACTCTTGGAAAATGCGGGGGGTGTGGGGGAGTGAGAGCTGAGAGCCTGTGGAGTATGGGGAGCGGAAAGCATTAGGAAATCCCCTCCAGTATTTGATAAAGAAGCCATGGTAATACCTTCTGGCCTTAGGTGTGTGGGAGGGCACCGCACAGGGTAGCTCTTCCTCTCCATCCCTTGACACCTGTCCTCAGTGGGTCAGACCTTTTGCATTCTCCTGAACACATACACGCAGAACAGACTTTTTAAACTATCAACTTCAGGAAAGGAACATTTTTTGTGCCCCTAACCTCTTTGCCGCAACACGTTACCCGTCTGAAAACACCTGTGCCGGGGTATTTCGGGTCGTCCACTTCTCGACCTCACAACTCAGTACCTCTGGCTTCCCACCGGCGCTTACAACGGCTTGTCCCAGCTCTTCCCCTCACCCCAGGCACGCCCAACCCGCTCCCAACTGTGGGCCCCGTCGGGGCTGCGGGGGGGAGCGGCCGAAGCAGGAAGAGGGGAGGAAGGCAGGGCGGCCCGAGCTCACCATGGCGAAGCCGGAGAGAAGAGCGGAGGTCCGGCTGGACGCTTTGAGCTTGGCGCGGCTTAAGTAGAGCTTGCGCCAGGACAGCGCCTGCATCGAGTGCTCGTTGAGGCTCATCACCTCGGAGTAACTCTGGCCGATCCAGTCCGGGTAGCTGACGGCGGGCGGTGGCGGCAGCGGTGGGGCCCCCGAGGGCTCCCCGTCCCCGCTGCGGCGGCGACTCCGGCGGCTGCCGCTGGTGCTGCTGCCGCCGCTCAAGGGAAGCTCGGGATTGCTGCTGCTCGGGGGCGGGGCAGGCTCCGGATGCATGGAGTAACTCTGCGAAGGCTCGGCTGGCGGCGGACGCCTGCGAAGGCTGCGGCCCTGGGCCGCGCCGCACCTCCGCCTGCTTCCACTCGAGTTTGTCGCACGCGGCCGGACGGACCCGATCCAGAGGCCGAGGCCGTGGACACAGAAGCGCTCCGCAAGTTCCAAGCGGCAGCAACCTGAGCCTGCGCGCCGATCGGCGTCCGGTCCCAGGCCGGCACCTCGGCGCGCTCCACGATTGGCCGGCCCCCGCGATTATTTGCATACGCCACACCCTCTCCTATGCCCCGCCCACAAAGAGGTGGGCGGTGTCCTGCGAGTTACGTGCCCCACGCCGCCTCCGACGGCTCCGCCCACAGCCCCTGGCTAGCCTTCCTGGAAGCGCCCCACGCTGACAGGCCTCCTTCTCATCTCTGCAGCTGCTCGTGTGGCTTTGCTCCCGGAGCTTCTGAGTTGAGCCATTTGAGGTCACCTCTGAGCGCCTCCTGAGGCCTGTTTCCTCCTTGGAACAAGGTGGCAAAAGGTCTGTTAGAAAAAGACCAAGTGGCGGTCTAGAGTTTGGTCAGTGATTATTGAGTGCCTACTGGGTGCCAACACTGTTCCAGGCGCTCAGGGCAGGCATTAAATTTGTGACTAAGAGGGAGAAAATGTCGATCCCAGAGTGGTCATGTTGTCTGTAATCCCAGCACTGGGGAGGCTGAGGCAGGAGCATCACGAGCTTGAAGGAGCAGTGAGTGCCTGCTTCAGAACACAAGAACAAAATTCCATGCTCCCTGCAGCCAACATTCTACTAGAAGAGACGCACAAACACCAACGTGTAAATTATGGTTCAGAAGGCTGTAAATGTATAGGGAAAAATAAAAACGGTTTTTTAAAAAAGTGAATAGTAACACAGGGATAGTCCCGATTTGTTTTTGTTTGTTTGTTTGTTTTGTTTTGTTGAGAACTGCATGGCCCTTCCTGGGCCTGGCCTGGGACGTGTCTTATAGACCAAGCTGGATTCAAACTCACACAGATCCATCTGCCCAGGGCTCCGGAGTGCTTGCATCAAATTTGTGTACTAGCCAGACAGTGGTGACACGTGCCTTTAATCCCAGCACTCAAGAGGCAGAGAGGCAGGTGGATCTCTGTGAGCTCAAGACCAACCTGGTCTACAGTGTGAGTTCCAGGGCAGCCAAGGCTACACAGGGAAACCCTGTCTCAAAATGAATAAACGAATAAATAAATAGATAAGTAAATAATAGTGTACTACAATTCCCGGGTCTCTTCATGGGATTTTCTATTCTGTAAGGGCAGACTATAAACTCATTCACACCTCTGGGTCTCATCTGAACTGAGACTTGGGCCAGCAATGTAAAGAGTTGGGACCTAAGGAGAAAGGAAACCAAGTGAGGAGACCACGAGTCAGGGGCTTGGGAATACGGGGGTTGAGGGCGGAGCTCGGGAGAGGTGAGGTACGGACTAAGGAACTCGACAATGTTAAATCCAAAGCCACTGCGTTAACAGTGATTCCGCTGCTCTAACCCCAGCGTTCAGAATGTTTGTCTCTTGGCACACGCTCCACACTGAAGAGATATTTGTTGACTGAATACATGTGGGGAAAAGAAGAACAAGTGACACACTGAGACCCCAGTCAAGTCCTAAGCATGTGGCACTCCAGGTCTACGGTGTGATAGTTCTTGTAAAACCACTAGAGGGCAGCCCTCCACCCAACCACATGGTACAAAGGAGAATGCGTCCACCCAAGTTTCTGAGATTCCCTTAGGGGCTTTCTTCCCTGGTTTATAAAGACTCGGAACTCTGAGCCTGTAGTGGTAAATGCCTTTAATCTCAGCAAGACAAAGGCAGGGCAAGTGGATCTCTGTGAGTTCTAGGCCAGCCACTGCTACATGGAAAAAGACCGGCTCAATAACAAAATCAAAATGACAAAATAAGATTGAGGACTTGGAATTTGAAATTTCACCCCGCTAAGTTTGATTTGCAGGTGGCTGGGCTTGAATGCACAGAGATCCACCTGCTTCTGCCTCCCAAGTGCTGGGATTAAAGGTGTGCACCACTACGCCCCTCTTATGCTTTTCACTCTTGATTACCATCTGCATCTGGACTCAGATATCACTTCCAAAAAGACCTCTTTCTGGGGCTGTAGAGATGGCTCAGTGGTTAAGAGCATTGCCTGTTCTTCCAAAGGTCCTGAGTTCAATTCCCAGCAACCACATGGTGGCTCACAACCATCTGTAAAGAGGTCTGGTGCCCTCTTCTGGCCTGCAGGCATGCACACAGACAGAATATTGTATGCATAATAAATAAATAAATATTAAAAAAAAAGATTCAAAAAGACCTCTTTCTGCCTACACAGCCTCTCACCAGGACGTGTCTGGCCGCCCTGATATCTTTCCTTGCATATCTCCGACTGTGACAGCGACTGTGCTGGCTCTCTTTTCTTTTCTTTTTTTCCCTGTCAGCTTGAGACAAGCTAGAATCATCTGAGAAGAACAGCTCTCAATTGAGAAAATGCACCCTTCAGGTTGGCCCATAGGCAAGTCTGTAGGGCATTCTCTTGACTGATAATTGACATGGGATGGCCCAGCTGTCCCTGCTAGGTGGGTTATTCCTGGTTTCTATAAGAAGGCAGGCTGAGCGCACCAGAAAGCAGTGTTCCTGTCTGGTCTCTGCTTCAGCTTCTGTCCTGACATAGAGTGACCTGGGAAGCGTAAGTCAAATTTCCTCCCCGAGTTGCTTTGGATCTTGGCCTTTATCACAGCAACACTAAAACAGCATCTGAGATTATCTAACCGATTTGTGTATTGATCTGACCCCCGCTAAAGCGTGAGCACCCTTAGAGTGTGTGTATAGAAACAGGTTGAATGAAGTAACAAATGCCCTTGGTCCAGAGAAAACCCTGCTGAGAGAGGGGCTGAGGTCTGGAGGGAGGAGTCTGGAAACCACAAAGAGACACCTACTGTTTAGAGCACTGGGATCTGGGAGTGGTGGCTACAGAGGGGCCTTTACAGTGGAGATGGTTTCCTGGTTGCCACATGCTAACTCCCCTCCTCTCCTTATCACGCTAATTTTGAATTTGATTTTGGATCAGCCCATATGTATAACTGAGAAAACAGCTCAGCGTTTTCAACCCTGGCACCAAAAAGCAAAGCAAAGAAAGAATCCAGCCGTTGACCCTGCAGGATAGAAGGGCCCATAGTAACTTTTGTCTCCCTTCCTAGATTCAGCGGGACCATGAGTGGCCACAAAGGCCACAAAGCCGTCAGGACCCATACTTCAACAGATGAAGAACTTCAGGAACCAGCGAGAAAGCACCGTGCTGAAAGATGTAAAAGTCGCCAACAGAGAACAGAGAGGATTGGAACCCAGAATCCTGATTCATCAGTTTCTCCAAGCCAGCCTGCTACTCCCTCAAGTGACTGGCCAAAGGTACACTTTCACCCTCTGGTGTTGGTATCTCAAAAAAAGCGCTAAATACAACTTTTCTTTTCCAATCAATTTTGTGCCTGACAGTGTAGAGACCCTCCTGCAAGGAAAATGGCTCGATTTACTGGGACTAATGGCCACAGCCTGGGGCTGATCAAAGACTGCTGGGTGAGTAGCCTAGGTGGTAGCAACATCCTCATACTGCTGGGGGGGGGGGGGACATTAACACCAGCACTCAGGAGGCAGGTGGATCTCTTGAGTTCGAGGCCAGCCTGGTCTACACAGCTAGTTCCAGGACAGCCAGGGCCACACAGAGAAAGCCCGAGTTGGCTCGGCGGTTAGGAGCGCTAGTAGGAGCCTCGCAGTTGGTTCTCCAGCACCCACACGATGACTCTCAACTGGCATCAGGGGATCCATCACCCCTTTCTCACTACCACAGGCGTTCCCTGTACACGGTGCACATCCTTAGCAGGCAAAACGCTCCGCTCCATACACATTAAAAATAGATAAAATCTATTAGCCATTCTAGCTAAGCATTCAAGTGTTTTGAGCCTATTACATGCTTAAATTTGGTTGTGCTTCTGTCTGCTCAGTTACAATGTGACCTTGAGCAAATTCCTCTGGGAGCTTTGGTTGTTTAAGCAAAACTGAGATGTTAGCTCAGCTTGGTGGTTTATAACTCTGATCCTGGACCTTCACAGGCTGAGGCAGGCGTACCCTTGGTTACAGAGTGGGTTCTAGGCCACCCTGGGCTACAGAGTCCTAAAAATACACAGTTAGGCTGGAAAGATAGATCAGTGGTTAAAGGCACCCATTGTCCTTGCAGAGGACCTGGGTTCAATTCCCAGCATCCACATGATGGTTCACAATCATTTAATTCCAGTTCCAGGGCATCAGACACCTTTTTCTGACCTCCTTGGGCACTGGGCACACCTCTGATGCAAATACATACACACAAAAACACTCACACGTGAAATGAAAACACCCAGCATCTGCACATAGACATGATGAGACACAGGGAAAGACGGCTATCATCTGATGGAGTACATGCAGGACGCCAGAGGTTGAGACAAAAAGCCCAAAATAGATCTTCCTCTAAAGCCTTGAGAAGGGTGTCCCTCCTGACACACTGGGGAGATTGGGTGACATCAGAGTGATATGGCTGTAGTTCTTGGCTGCCCTCTGACCTCCAGAACTGAGGCAATAAATCCGTTAACTGGGTGTGGTGGGGCACCCCTGTAATCCCAGCACGTGAGAGGTTGTGGTAGGAGATAAGAGTCTGAGGCCAGCCTGGGCTATATAATTAGACCCTGTCTCGAGACAATAATAAATGAACAGATCTCTGAGCTCGTAGATTGTAGTGTTTTCTTAATGTTAGCCTGAGAGATTAATCTCAGGACCCTGGAGTGGCCTAAGAGGAGACTTCAGCTGACCAGAGAGGTTGCATCCTTATTTATCAGGGGGCTGACTGCAAATACATTCAGAAATAAGGAAAATGGCAGACCACTGAGTGAGGTAGGGACACCTGGATTTGGACTCTGGTTTCATTGGTGCATGGCTCTGCTACTTTGGGCAAACATCCCAACCTGTCTAGGCTCCATCTGTCAAGCGGGAATCACGATGGCACCAGGCAGCCAGGGTTGTTACGAGTGTTTTGTGACAGGACATTTGTCTGGCAGTCAGCACAATGCTCAATAAATGGCGGCTATTTTCCCTTTCACGACTGTGCGGGGATCAAAGAATGGAGGCAGCACCGCGGCACTGAATGGACTAATCTGTATTTACCAAGGGCAGTTCAT